TGCGTATACATATGTGCGCATGGGCACGTCTTGCGGTTATGAGGATCATCGCGGCCTGTGCCGCGGACGGCTGACGTCTCGCGCCTTGCGTCATGGTAGGTTGTGCCAGGGCGAACGCTTCTGGTCATCGCGTCGACCGCTGTGGGCTGTTTGACTTCATTCTTCATGTCTCTGACTGTACATTGCGCTTCTCAGCTGCGTAGGAAGCTCTGACCACCCACGCGCATCAGGTCGGACAAAGAGGTGCCATGGCGGCGGCGCGTCTCGGGACACTCCCCGTCCTCGAGGCTACCCAACTCCACGCTGCGCACCGCCTCCATGTCACCCACCCCAGTGCCCCCGCACAGGTCCAAGCCCAACCCGTCCTCGACGATTGGACTGCCGGAGCGATGCCGAGGGGGGCACACGATCGCACACATCGTCCCGTTGCGCATGTGCGCGTGCGTATCATGGTGCGTACGCCTGGGTCCCTACTTATTCGGAACCGACAACGCGTCTTTCCTCCGCTCGAGTCGATCGCACACAGAGATCCGACAGAGATCGCACGGGAGCGCCTGCAGACGAGCGGCGGCCCCCTGCGTCGTCGAGAGCTGTGGCGGCGGACTTTGCGGGGACGCTGCCCGGTGAGGGAGAAGTTGGCAGGACGAAACGCGGGGAAGGTGCGTGAAGTCTCGGTCGTAATAGACGTTTGGAGCGATGCATTGCGAACTTGCGTCGTGGACATGAAGAGATGTGCACAATGGGTGGTGCGTGTTTCCCGCGTCGCCTTGAAGCAAAGGACGACCTTGCACTGGTGACTCGCGATGCTTCATCACGATCACCCATACCCGCGACTCTCAGATACACTTCTCGCGCAGATCTCACACTCCCGACACCCCTGCCGTCGGCACTCTCGCTGCGGCCTCGCGGACCCATTCTCCCTTTAATGACCGGCGGCGGGAGCGGGCGGTGCGCACCGCCCGCTCGAGCTGCGCGCAAGCGCAAGCGCAACCCGCTCGATCGCCTGTGTCCTGTGTCCGGGGTTCCAGCGCGAGGCTCACTGCCCCGCTCGCTCGCCGTGCTTATATTGGGAGGACGGCGCGAGGTTGGTCGATGTGGGCGTGCGGCGTCCTGGAGGAGGCCTGCCCTTCGAGGAGTCGCAACCAGTGTCAGACGCCACTACTACTGCTTCCAGACGGCGATGCCACTGGCAGTGGTGGGATCTGCGGCTTCTCTCTTGAGGCTTGCTCTCGGTGTCGTCGTCAATGGGGCGTGGCTTCCTGTGTGGCTTGCACACTGGGTCTGGCCTGGCTGCGCTGCGCTGTTCTGTTCTCGACTCGGCAGCTCGCTCGAACTCGAACTCTCTGTCCTTCTCTGTCTAGCCTTGCTGCTGCTGTTCTGGTTCTCGGACCCCACTCCCCGCATTCCATGACAAGCGCTCGCTTCGGATGGTCGCCCTCAGCATTGGACCCGCCGGCTTACTCTGTTCCTCTGGTCTTTGCTCGCGTCTCTCGCTCCAAGCAACAGGTTCTCTGGCTTTGTGACTCATCCCAGCAGCTCTCGAGGGCTCGCCACACGGCACAGCTGGTACAGTGACCATCAACCATTCTTCAGCGCTCCGGGGTCGCCAATGAAACATCCATCAGCCGCTTGGACACACTACTGCTCCTCCTCGCGCCTGCACTCTCAAACGCCATCGTTCGGGGGAGGCGCAGTGTGGCGCGACGCCGCAACCTGCAGACCACTCGATCAAGCGTTATGTTATGTGTGGTGGGTTCCGACGGGCATTTTGAAACCTTCTGGAAGGCCCCCATGGTCAAGGGATCAGACACGCGGATCTCCCTGGTCAGCGCCGTCACGCCGCTCAGGATCTCGGGCTGCAATCTCTCGACGGTCTCCCGACACGAGACGCTTGTTGTTTGAGATTTTCGTGCGCTGGGACCGGGTTGCCAGGGTTCCGGCGGCAAACATACACGCAGCTTTAAGCTCTCGGGACTGCCGTCGTGGCTGCTGCAACGCGCCTGCGCGTCTGGCTCTTGCTCATGGACGCCCTGTGGCAGAGGAGTAAAAGATGCGGCCGGGCCACGCTGCTGACTCTTTTCTTTGCAGATCAGAGTACAACACTTTACACACGACTATCTTCACAACTGTGCTTCATCTCCTCCCTACGACGGATACTACCGCCGTACGTCCTTGTCGACTGACAGTGACACGTATTGATCCTCCCCAGAGTGTTCGGCTGGCGTGAGTGGCGCGCGACACGCTACTGATTTAACCCACCATCAAAGCAATTGCGCCCGACGTAGATCTCATGCAACGCCGGAGCGCTGTCTCCCTCGTGTGCCCGCGATGGTTGCGGTTCAACCTGGTTCAACGCGGTTTCCTACGCAGCTGCTGCCACGTAGGTGCCACGACCTGACCCCTGGCTGGACCGCATGTAGCCGCCATTTCGACGCCGACATGGGCTGATCAAATTGTACGACTTGCCACCAATCGGCCAGCGGTCTCGCTCTGGGTCGGGACTTGTACGTGTCCTGTACGGCAGGTTAGTAGCGACCGCAGTGCGCTTTGGCTCCCCCGTCCAGTACAGCAATCCTGAATCATCCGTTACCGACACGGTTGCCTGGGTTATCATTGATTCTCCTGCCATCTCCAACAAGTGTAACATGTGCTGGGGACCGAATGGTATCCTTCCGAGTCCGGTGTTAGCGATGTCCGGGTGAGCGGCGCCTAGCTTTGGCTCTGAATGTTCTAATCTCGCATCTGTATTGCAGATGCCCGGAAACGCTGTAGGCATTGGTCATGAAGGGCCGTCGTTGTGGCGTTCCTACTTACTGAGTCCGGATCCATGAGACCTTGCCAGGTAGGTGACCTACTGCGTTATCATCGATCAATGACTGCGCCGCTGCGAAGCTCATCTGACCGTTTGACGTTTGTTAAATGTTGTTGGTGTGCCTCGCGCGGTCGGACCTGATCTGCGCCATGGGCCGAACTGGCTTCCGACAGTCCCTTGACCTTCTTTCATTTGGAGGCTGACGTTTGCTGTCAGCGACTCGGCGTCCTCGGTTCATTGTGGAGCGCGCCATGCCACAAACACATCAAGCGGAGGATCCGGCTCATTCTTTCGCAAGCCTTCTGCGGATCTTCACGGCGCACGGCTGAAGTGCCGCTACTTTGATGTTCTCCGCGACTGTCGACCATGCTGTTCCGTCTTGCGTTCAATGCGTTGTATGTACTCGGAAGGTGAGACCCAAGAAGGGGGAAATATGACATCGCTGAGAATTCCTATCTGACGTGCAGCACTTGGAATGTAGACGATCTCCGTGCTGCAACGCTTCATCAGGAACCAGAGAAGCTGCACTCGGCGCGTTTGCGCGAAAGTCCGAGGATGCTTGACCGGTAAAAATGATCCTTCCCCGCGACCCTAGTGCGCCGTCCCTCTTGTAACGTGCCCTTACCTGCGCCGGGTGCCTGGAGCTACGGACTTGGTAAGCGAGCTGGCACCGGGGCCATTCCCGGCGGTGTCAAGTTGAGCGCGAGCAAGCGGCTTGCGCGGAGAACGTGGATGCTGCGTACAACGTCTACTCAGTCGCCATGCGTTTAGACTCTATACTACCTAAAGAAACCAGTATGTATCACGCCCAATGTCCATCATGCCCGCCAATTTCATCGCGCTCGCGCAATCATGCGCCCTCCTCAGCCCGGAAATGCAGGGCCTATCGGCGCAAGGGAGGCCCGCAGACGGGGTCGGTCCCGCCCGCGCCTCGTGTGACGGACGTTCAGTCGCAACGCCACGAAGCTCATTCCTTCCACATTTGGTACAGTAGAAACGCGCTTTGGGACATCACTGTGCGATCAATTCGGGCCTCGGCGAAGGCTCTTCTGGGTCCGTTGGCCGCAGTGCGGCGTCTACGTATGTCTCATTCTGCCCTCTCCCATCGGCGCCGCAACGCTCACAGTTGCGGTAGTATTTGACATAACAATGCCGCCCGAAGAGGACTCGGAGCACCCTGAGTCTCTCTTCGGGCATGGGCTTCCATCAAGCTTCCCGCTGCACTCAATTCCGTTGTCTTGATCGCCTCCAAGACAGTACCGTGCGATGTATAATTCAAATCTCCTGCCACGCTGGTAGGCTTCCCCGACACTCCGGGATCTGCAATGAATCTGGCAAGGCTACTGACACATATTAGTAGGACGTATCGGTGGGACGAAGTCTACGACTCCGAGACCACTATATATGTTACCCTCATTGTGGACATTGCACGACACGATAGTAACAATGCGTACCTCCTCCAACTCCTGTGTAGCTCAAAATCGTGCATGCCCGAAGGTTCTCATACAGTCACGGTATGCCTGAAGGAGTCCCGTCATTTGGCAAAAGCGCATCACCCTCCCTACAGGGTTCCCGGTGCTCGCAATAATAATATTCCGCTGATATTACAGGCGCTTACACAGATGGTGATTGTACTTGGATAGCTCGTCTCCGAATCCATCCCTGTGCCCTGGCCACTGCCAGCCAGCGCATACTACGACGCGATCCACATTGGGATATGGCCCGCGGGCGCTTCCATGGACTTCTACTGGACGCATTATTCGAACCCAGCCGTGTCTTCTCGCTCGCTCCACCGCATGCATGCATATATACTCTCGGGGGCAACCACAACTTGTCTTCCCTCCGAGTGACCCCCACCGTGCCCTATCCAGAGGCCCGTACTGCATTCTCTTCTGAATCCTCACCCGGCGTCAGCAACGCAACCTTCAGCTATTCCATTTGGATAAGGTACACTGTTCTCATCAAGCATCTTGCTGCCACTGACTCTACTACTTCACTGGTATATACTCTAGTAATGGCACTCGGGCGCTATCAATCACAGCAACCGTGCAATGCAGGTGCACGGCAGTCAGGAGCTTGTACTTGGAGCTCTGGAGTCCAAAAACTCCTGCATATCGAGCACCACGTTTCTGAACGACCAACAGTTCAGCAGGCAAGATGTATTTGCATACCTAGATTCTGTTAACAAGCCATCGTGGCGCAATGGTAGCGCATCACCTTCCTACCCTAAGGAACTTACAGGTGGGGGTTGCGGGTTCGATCCCCGTCGGTGGTAGTCGGTTACACCTTTTGCCTTGTTGCTTCGTTCGACAACATCCACATACTACACCTTGCCATGTTTCATCATGGCAGAAAAACCCCCAAATGATTTCGAGCCAGAGCCACTACGGCCACAATGCTGCATGAACACATGGTGGACGACTTACCAGGGCACCGCCACCAACGGCTTTGAAGGTGGACTCCTCCGCGGCTTGACTAGCTTTAAGCCCCTGTTTGATGGTCCAGTTGTTCAGCTCGCTCCTGAATTGACCCCAATCAGTGGATGATAACGTCGACGTCCATCTTTCACCTCAACTTCAACAATGTTGGACGAAGTGGTGAGTTCAGCATGATTTGTTGAGGTTGCCTGCGCTCGGAGCTCACTTCTAAACCCAACGTCGATAGATGGTCACCGGCACGATGCTGCTCAGCAGCTGAACCATCTGCGTATGAAGTGGTTCAAGAGGCCTGCCAACATGGACATGACAAATCTTCAAGCTGTCAGCGCCGACGCGCTACGTTTGGAGTCGATGACGCTGGGCGCATTGCATTGAGGACTAGCACGGCGGGCGAGGCACCGTTGGCATATGCTGGTCAGTGCCATTCTATACCCATACTACTAGTGGCAGTTGACGTCGCAGCCTGCTGGACTATCCAAGGCTAGGTGGGAGCAGAAGTCGACCGGGTTCTCGTGCCTATGAAGCCCAACCTGTTCTACGTAACGCTGTGAATCGTCGTCGGTGTCCCGTATGGTGACAGACGCAGCACCTGGGCGATTGGGCTGGTGCATGAACGAAGCGACAGCGGCTGTATACCTTATACGCGCCCAGGTTCGTTCAGAACCTAGCGAGTACTAGTGCGTTATCTATATCGTGTCAGAAGACAACGAAGACAACCGGCGTTGCTTGTCCTCCTTGTCCATGCGGCCTCTCGAAGGCGTCAGAACCATGATTAGGTATACTGATGATGAGCGCACATGCGGCCGTTGTGGGTACTTGATCTGGCGATGTTCTGCCGTTGACGCGGGTCCGAGTCGGAGAGGCAGAGGCGCCCGGATAACCGGGAGCATTCCCGTTGAGGCAGCAACGTTGTTCCAGCAGTCGTTGGTGGAGGCTGTGCATGTATGGTACATCAATTCAGATCAATTCGCGAAAGATAGATCCTTGCTCCCACTGGCAGGTGGCATTGCACGGCTCCAACTCTCTGGAGGACGGCCGCTCCAACCGCTTGGACTTGAACAGCACCGCTGCCTGCTCCTGATTCTGCGCGACCTCCTCCCTCCCCCTGTCTTCCTCCAGCGCCTTTGCAGATGTCTGACGCTCAAGACATCGACATAGCGGACTCAGAGAGTGTCATCAGAGATCTTGTAGCAACACTGACACCCATCGAGGAGTTCTGGAAAGCCCGTCAATCATTCTTCGTCGAGCATGGCTACACCCTGCGGCCTCGCTTTCGTCCGGGATGGGTTCCCTCTTGGCGTCGCGACCCTACCATTGACTTCCTCAATGCTGAAGACTTCCAGTCCTTTCACGTGAGGTTGAAGACCGCTTGAAAGATGAGTCGTCACTGATATCTGCAACCCAGGCATTGAGGCCGCACCTCATGGATGCCAGGCGGCTTTCTGATAATAAGCTCGTTCTACTGAAGAAGGTTCGCAGTGACTCCTCGGAGCTTGAGATCGCGAAATACCTGTGGTCGGAGGAGCTACGCAACGATCCCCGGAACCATTCAGTACCCCTCCTAGACGTTATCCCTGGCTTTGGAGACGAGCCATTCTGCTATATGGTCATGCCGTTCTACCGCTACATTGATGATCCTCCGATGGTCACCGTGGAGAATGTGCTGGACTGCTGCGAGCAGTTGCTTGAGGCACGATGGTTCATGGCTATCATCATATCCCTGACTCAGTAACACATCTTGTATAATGCTATAGGGATTGGTATTCATGCACAACCACGGCGTTGCACACAGGTGGGTCACACGAATTATTCGAGTGGTCTATACTTGAGTTACAGAGGACCGGCCTAGGGATTGCGCTTTCAAGAACATCATGTACGACCCAGATGTCCTGTATCCCCAAGGGTTCCATCCGATGAGGCTTGACCGGCTTCCCTACCAAACTGATGCATGGGCTCCGGTTCTCTCCCGGAGAGACGTTCAGATCAGATACTACTACATAGATTTCGGCATTTCGAGCCACTTCACGCCGGATGATCCCGACAAACTGGTCACCGGGCTCGACGGGATAGAGAAGCTTGTCCCGGAGCTCTCGGACGAAGTTCCGTATGACCCCTTCAAAGTCGATATCTTTGTTCTAGGGAGGATGATGTACGAGACTTTCATCAAGGTACGCCACACGCACGATTCAACTACGATCCCTGAAGAATGCCTAATTCCACCTCTCAGAAATTCACCAACGTCGGTATGATCGTACCGTTGGTGCAGGACATGACTGCCCCGGACCCAGTCGATAGGCCCAACGCTGCAGATGCTCTCCAGCGATGCCTAGGCATACGTTCAAGAGTCTCTGCACTCCAGGCTTCCTGGAGGCTCCGGCCAGTGGAAGAGCCGCTGACTATCACAGCTGTTCTTGATAGCGTGTCGCTGGTAAGTCGAATACTCCCCTCCATATCAAACAACGATCCGATGTTCGTTCCTCTAGGTCACTACAGCATTCAAATCCATTTTCTGAAGCTACGATACCAGATACTCATGAAATGCCGATCCCCGTAGCTAGTGTCCCATCTGAGCAATCTGCTACTCCTCGACGTTAAGCTTTTTTGTCCTCTATGCTGTGTTGCAATGTATACGCGGATTGGCTTTCCGTCTCCTCATGAGTCGAGTATACGGTGCACTTTGTGCCCCCGTAGCCTGCATTCTTGTGTATCGCGAAGGATACCAACCGGTTGTCTGCAGACTGGTCCGACCTGTCCGGTTATGCTGTTCAGGACAGATCTTCGTGCGAACCATCAGCGCCGATATGCCACTATGTTCAATGGACGACGCAGGGCGCAATGTACGACTAGTACGGTGGGCGAAGCACCGTTGGCAGACGACTGTCAGCACGCCATTGTGCGCCCATCCCAATGGCAGTGAAAGCTGCAGCTAGCTGGACTACGCGGGGCTGGGTGAGAGCTGAAGTTCCCATGGCTTTCAAGCGTGCTCGACACAACACAACTCGGAGGTGTCTAATATGACAGACGCAGTACCCGTGGAGGTACTTATGGAGTACAGTGCTAGCTACTGTGTAACCAGCACTCATCCTATTCTTTGCCAGTCTCGGGACCCTCTTACCATCTCTTCGTCCAGTCCCATCTCGTGGTCGTGTGGTAAGTCCGTACTCAGGCTCTATAGAAGTCGTAATTGACCATTAGGCGTCGATTGTTCATAGAGCCTTTCCAGCCATCATGCGCTCGTTCGCTGCTTTGATCACCTTCCTTGTCACCTTGACGGCTCTCTTCTCCGTCGCGACCGCATTGCCTTTGACCAACAGTACCCTCCTGCCTGAGGATCCTCGACGTAGCCCGTCGACCATCGAGCACCGCGCAGAGCGCAGTCGCCTACAGTCGCGCTGGGGCATTCGACCGTGGGCGATTTACCATGGGAAACCGTTGCATGCCCGGTGATGGGTCGCTCCCCTACTGTGTTGCCGTGGCGAGCTTCCAGTAGTTTGCTTGTACCACAAGCTTTCTAACTTATAACCATCTTTCGCTCTGCTGGGCTAGAAGCAGCTGTTCAAGGTCGCAGTCGAGATAATGCAACGCACCACTACACTCTCTACGTCGTACCTGCGTTGATCTACGTCGACCGCAATCTAATTCATCGAGACTTGAGGGTCAACCGTTTAATGTCCAGTAGCCGTGGCGCTCCTACCCTGGAAAGCTCGCAAAAATTGCACAAATCAGTGCGAATGAAAGACAGGCGTGAGCTGGGTTGCAGGAGAAAACATGTAGCGTGATAATATACAGGTGGCGAATGCTTGTATAGGTGGTAGTAGACCTGCTCTAAGCCGAGACGAGGGTCCCAATTAGCGACGATAGCGAGCGTACTAGTAGGATGTCTTGTTACAAGTCTCCCATCATCACGCTGGGGACGGGGATTGGGGCCGGGAGGACGCTGCCACCTGAGCCACCAGCACAGGTGAGACGGACACGCACACAATACGTCCACTGTGCTCGAGGGGTAAGCCTCCTGTTCCCAGCATCTGAATGCATCGCCCCAACCCACGCAGAACAGCACGCATGGAGGAGAGGCATAGACAGTTGCTCTCACGGGCGGTCGAGCGGGAGGGTGTCCTTCCAGCGCTCCGCGACGGGCTCGTTGCGGAAGACCTCGTGGAGGACCTCCTTCACGTCCTCGACGTAGACGAAGCGGATGCCAGTCTTGACGCTCTCGGGCACGTTCTCTTCAATGTCCGTCCGGTTATCCGCGGGCGCGATGATCGTCTTAATACCCGCGCGGTGCGCGGCGAGGATCTTCTCCTTGAGGCCGCCGACAGGGAGCACCATGCCGACCAGCGAGATCTCGCCCGTCATCGCTGTAGTTAGAAGACATGTGTTGTCAGTCTCTGGAGGTATGGCGGAATAGATGAGAGTGCGACGTACCGATGTCGGGACTGATCTTGGTCTTCGTGAAGAGGGAGACAAAGGCAGAGAGCAGGGCCGTGCCTGCGCTAGGGCCCTCTTTGCCAATGCTTCCCTCGGGCATATGTACGTGAATGTCCTTGTCCGTCAGGAAGAGCTCCTCAGGCGTCTTGGTGATTCCGAGTTCATACGCATGTCCCTTCACCCACGAGAGGGCGATCTGTGCGCTCTCCCTGATGACCTCGCCGAGCTTACCGGTGAGCTGGAGGTTGCCCTTGCCAGGCATCGACTGAGACACGATGGTTAGACCATGAATCAAAGGCATGACAGTCGAGAGACTTACCAGAGCCTCGATGGGCATGACAGCACCAGAGCCGTTACCGAGGTATCCAAGACCAGTGCTGACACCAGCCGGCGGCGGGTGCACGTATAG